GTGATATGGACACCAAGGAACTTGAAGCTCTCAACCTGCTCCACTACAGCCCCGTCGATGAGAATGGGGGCATGCTCAGTCCTCCTTTTCCTGTAGTCCACAATCATCTCCTTTGTCTTGATCACGTTGAGGGAGAGGTTGTTATCCTGGCACCACACGGCCAGGTCTCTGACCTCCTCCCTATAGGCTGTCTCATCGTTGTTGGTGATCAGGCCTACTACTGTTGTGTCATCGGCAAACTTAATGATGGTGTTGGGAGTCGTGCTTGGCCATGCAGTCATGGGTGAACAGGAAGTACAGGAGGGGACTGAGCATGCACCCCTGAGGGGCCCCCGTGATGAGGATCAGCGTGGCAGATGTGTTGTTACCTACTCTTACCACCTGGGGGCGGCCCATCAGGAAGTCCAGGATCCAGTTGTAGAGGGAGGTGTTTGGTCCCAGGGTCCTTAGCTTAGTGATGAGCTTTGAGGGCACTATGGTGTTGAACGCTGAGCTGTAGTCAATGAATAGCATTCTCACGTAGGTGTTCCTCTTGTCCAGGTGGGAAAGGGCAGTGTGGAGTGCAATAGAGATTGTATCATCTGTGGATCTGTTGGGGTGGTATGCAAATTGGAGTGGGTCTAGGGTTTCTGGGATAATGGTGTTGATGTGAGCCATGACCTTCCTTTCAAAGCACTTCATGGCTACAGACGTGAGTGCTACGGGTCGGTAGTCATTTAGGCAGGTTACCTTAGTGTTCTTGGGCACAGGGACTATGGTGGTCTGCTTGAAATATGTTGGTATTACAGACTCAGTCAGGGACAGGTTGAAAATGTCAGTGAAGACACTTGCCAGTTGGTCAGCGCATGCTCGGAGTACACGTCCTGGTAATCCGTCTGGCCCTGCGGCCTTGTGAATATTAACCTGTTTAAAGGTCTTACTCACATCGGCTACGGAGAGCGTGATCACACAGTGGTCTGGAACAGCTGATGCTGTCATGCATGCTTCAATGTTGCTTGCCTCGAAGCGAACATAGATGTAATTTAGCTTGTCTGGTAGGCTCGTGTCACAAGGCAGCTCGCGTCTGTGCTTCCCTTTGTAGTCCGTAATAGTTTGCAAGCCCTGCCACATCCGACGAGTGTTGGAGCTGGTGTAGTACGATTCAATCTTAGTCCTGTATTGACGCTTTGCCTGTTTGATGGTTCGTCGGAGGGCATAGCGGAATTTCTTATAAGCATCCGGGTTAGAGTCCTGGACCTTGAAAGCGGCAGCTCTACCCTTTAGCTCAGTGCGGATGTTGCCTGTAATCCATGGCTTCTGGTTGGATTAAAGGTGGTCTAGTTTTTTTTGCTCTGGTTGCAAATTTAACATGCTGGTAGAAATTTGGTAAAAGGTTTCCCTGCAATAAAGTCCCCGGCCACTAGGAGCGCCGCCTCTGGATGAGCATTTTCTTGTTTGCTTATGGCCTTATACAGCTCGTTGAGTGCGGTCTTAGTGCCAGCATCGGGTTGTGGTGGTAAATAGACAGCCACAAAAAATATAGATGAAAACTCTCTTGGTAAATAGTGTGGTCTACAGCTTATCATGAGATACTCTACCTCAGGCGAGCAAAACCTCGAGACTTCCTTAATATTAGATTTTGTGCACCAGCTGTTATTTACAAATATAAACAGACCGCCACCCCTTGTCTTACCGGAGGCAGCTGTTCTATCTTGTCGATGCTGGTTTATATTTGCATGCCTGAGTGTTCTCCACTTACATTTTGGGGCAAATGTGAGTCACATTGCTGATCTCCCCTGGCCCATGCTCTCACCATTTCCTCTATTCTATTTCAGGCTAAAAGTAAATCTCCAGTATGTATACCCAAATCATAATGTCTTAGTTCTGCTCCAACTAGCTAGTGCTTACAGTACTTCCAGGCTCTGTGCAGCAGGGAAACCTTGTGCTAACCTGCTTACAGTTTTACAGTGCAGCAACTTGCAGTGTAAACAAACACCAACTCAACTCACCAATCCAATGAGTTTTGAGGAGTTATGAGGATGGGTGGACTGCTCGAGGCACTCACCTTTCATTGTCAACTCTGTACAGATCAGATCGATCAGTCTGATGTCAGCATGACATTCTACAATGTACCAGACTAAGGCCTGTCCATCTACAGAATACAGGGAGGTTCACCATATGAGCAGAACAACAATAATTGTCTGAGGTTGGTAAAGTGCACAGTCCAACTACGTTCTGGTTAATGTTTGAATCCATGTCGCTATGGTTATGACTGTTGGAACATTAACCACGCTCACAGAACTGATGACGACCTTCAAGAGTTAAGTAGAGATTTTGCAAGGATACAAAAACACTCAAGTAAAAATAGAGAGAAGTTGAACAGCATACATGGAATGATATGAATGAAAACAACGTCTATCAAACGGGGAGAGCCGATTTTCTAAGCAGATGGGGGAAAGTACAGTGGGATGAAAAGGTTTGTCATACAAAAACAAATATGTACCACATAGACAAGGAAGTGGCCATAACATAGCACTGTTTGGTCTCTGCTTGTCCCTGTTCTTGTAGTCTGCTCTGATGTTTTTCATCAATCCAAGGATGGAGAGAGAAGGCCAAACATCCATCTGTTTAGACCATTTCACATTTCCCCTGGTTTTTAAACAGTGTATCTCTCCCTGATGTGATGTGTGTGACTGAAGATTGCGTCATACCAACTCATTGGATTCAACATCCGCTGAGAAATAAACTGCCATCTGGAAAATACTAAAAGAGCACAGAATGTTGTGGGTAATAGTTTCATTAGAACCCCATGTCCATTTGATACATAGAGAGTCTGACTCCAAGATCTAATGCAGTGTAATACATACAATATTTATTCAGAAACACAAAAAATTAAGTTAATTGTCTGGTAATCCACAACATTGTTGTGGTAGCTGTCTCATGGAAAACATTGAGGAACAGGCGTGTGTTCAGATTAACCAATGTGCCGAATAAAACTAGAGTGTGATTATCAGATTAACAGATCGTAGAATAGAAAATGTTTGGATGGGGCCTTCTCTGAATTTGTCCGTTTTTTTCAATTACAATATTCATTCCATTGTACACAATAAAAAATATTATCAGTTGCCTAGACCAAACATTTTTAAACCGAGAGTTCCTGAGACAGCATCACAAAATATGCTGTTTTTTTCTTATTTTTGCTCATCTTTATTATTTTCCCCTAATATACTGATTTCCATCTTAAGCAACAACAACAACACTGTATCATGAAATAGCTGTCTGCTACTTAGAGAGGGTGCACAGCTGGAATATCAAGCAAGAAGTCTAGCTCTGACAGAAACCTTAATCTCACTTTTCCTCCGAACACTAGTGGCTGAAAACAAAATCATACAAAAAACACTGAACCGTGATTTAAGTATAACATCCTTTAGCATTCAATGCAGACAGACACACTGTCTATAAAGAGGAGCAGTTTGTAAAGTTGCTTAAACATAGTTGGATAGCTGGTGTTCCTTGATTGTGTGAGTGGGACAGTCAAAGTCATTGCCCAATGTTTGAAAAAGCAGATCCAAGTTGGTTTCTATGCACATTAGAATACTAGAACACATGATATTCACACACTTACACTGGTTAAAAACTAAAGAAGAATGATGTTATTTATGCAGTGCACCCCCAGTAGCAAAGGCATCCAGTTCTTGCACACTCCGAAACAAAGG